CGAAAGTTCTCATTACTTTTGACTCAACCTAATACAATTTGGTTAAAGGCAGTGGATCGGCAAAACTCAACAACCCAGGTAGCGCAGTGGGTTTCTTATAGCCCGAGTACGAAAACAGAAAAATGAAAACAGTGCAATCCCGATCGCATAACACGCCTTCTCTGCCAAAAAAAAATTGCTCTCAAACTCACATGCGTAAGCCAATTTTACACAGTATTTGTGGTATTTGGTATTTGTGCGGCCGCCGGCCGGTGCAAGTGCCTAAGATGTTATAAACATTGAGTCATGCAAGGATTCAGCGCCATTAGCCTTGCTCTACTCGTCCAATTTCAGAACGAAGGGCTTCGGATAACGCTCATTTTCGCCGTTTTCAAGCTCCTTAGAGTGGATCTTTGGGATCAGCGCATGAGATAATCTCAGGTAAGCGAGAATTCGACTAGGTTGAAATTTGCCGAGCCACTGTCTTTTTTTCAATTCCTATCGATGCTATTTTGGTAGACTAGGTAAGGCACATGACTTTTATTTGAAAAATCTCGCCTCACTCTTCAGACTGCATAGAGTTTACTTAAATGATAGCTGCGGTCGCATATTTTGACTTTTAAAGTTATTGGAGCGAAGTTTGCAACAAAAATTCCTGACCGTCGTATAGCCCGTGCACAAGTAATAAGCGAGTCTTCCTAAAGTTTTCTACATTCCTGGATATGTCATTTGCATTGTACACTGAGTCATCTGCATTTCCCATATATCGCTCCGTATAGGTTGCATCTAAACCGATTTCAGTAAGGAATGGATTTTGAACGTAAGTAATGTACTTACCATAATACAAAAAGTTAGATACTGGAGCAACTGCAATAGCGCATTTGAAGAAGCCTTGAGGAGCTCGTTCAGCCATCAAAGCACTAGCGTAACCACCATAAGACCAACCAAAGACGACAACTCGATGAGAGTCCAAAAATGTGTACCTCTTCAAGACTTGCCTAAGAAAAAAATTTGATGGTAAAGGCAGCGGCTCGGCAGAAGGACACTTTTGAGATATTTATCGTTCTCGGTTCCCCTGGATGTGCTAAGTCCAAGACTGTGC